TCTTACCTTGAATTCTGTAACTCTTCTTTCTTATGAAAATACCCTAGATAAAAGGGGGAAGAAAATACATAAAAAGACTTTCATAGCACTATGAGATAAATAAAATAGACTTCCTAGAGAGAAGAGTTGTTTTGGAAGCTCTGGCCACACCTTACACTGAGTTAAATCTAACTCCCAATGTGTGTCTTGGTTTATTACATGGGCCATACAAGTGATAAAGAGGCATTTCTTACATTCAACAAGTATTACAGAGAATCAATTATGTGTCTGACAGCTTGCTGAGCACCGGACACTTAACAACAAATTATAAACCCTGATCTCATGAAAATGATGTTCTAGTGTGTTGTTAGGTGCTGTTGAATTGGTTCTGACTCCGAATGACCCTGTGTACAACTGAATGAAGCAACCCCAGTCCTGTGCTTTCCTCACAAGTGCGTCCATGTGCCCATTGGTGCAGCCACCGTGTCAATCCATCTTGTCCAGGGTCTTCTTCTTTTTTGCTGCCCCTTCTGTGTTACCAGGCATGATGTCCTTTTCCAGGGATGGGTATCCTAGTGGTAAAATAGTTACTCATTGGGCTGCTAACTGCTGGGTCAGTAGTTCAAAACCACCAACTGCTCCTCTGGAGAAAAACAAGGCTTGCACTTCCACAAAGAGTCACAGGCTCAGAAATCCATGGAGGCATCTCTCCCATGTCCTATGTGTTTGCTACGAGTTGGATCAACTCGGTGGCAGTGGGTGAGGTCTCCTGATAAGATGCCCAATATAAGTCTCCATTCTGGTCTCTAAGAAGCATTCTGGCTGCATTTCTTCCAAGCATTTCTTTCCAGTATAGGAGAAATCTTTTTAAGAGTATTTAAAAACCATTAAGTGGAAAAGAAAAATAACTTCATAATGAGGTGTGTTAAGAAGGAAACTAAAAAGTCTTTGACATAAGAGTGTGGCCATGGAGAACACTCAGAGGATGTGACCTTTACACTCAGTTATGAAAGAAGAGAATTAGTCATCCAAGGGAAGAAGCAGGGGAACATTGCGAGTAAACAGAAATCCTGACAGAGGACTTGCTGAGGATTTGGATGGAGCAAGGAAGTGAGCCAACATAAAGTCTAAATAGTAGATGAGGACAGATTCTTCTAAACCATAATCAGGACTGTTGGTTTTATTCTAAGAACAATAGAGAAGTATCAAAGGGTAGATGTATGATCTGATTTATGTTTTAAGAAAGCACCAGTATTTTGAAAGTGGAGAAGAAAGATGAATAAGGAAGTGAAAAAGATGAATAATGAAATGGCTGAAAAAGATGACTGAAGAAATGAAAAGATAGTGCCTTGGTGTAAGGCAGGAGAGATATAGAGTCATAAATCTATTTTAGGTAGATTTAGAAGATGGATTGTATGTTCACAGTAAGAAAAGAGGGGATTCGGGTTGATCTGGCTTGTTACCAGATAGAGGGTGGTGGGGAAAGACCAGAGAGAGTGCACTTAGGTTTTAGGAGAGTTAAATATAGAATCTAAAGCTCAATTTTGGACATGGTGAATGGATGGGACATCTAAGTGAAGATGTAGGTTAGATAACTGAATAAGTAGTATTAACTCCCTATGACCTAAAGAGAGAAGGTTGCTTCCCACACCTTTGTGATCACACATTTGAAGTGAACTGGCACCTCTTACCAAATAGGAACTAAAGTGAATGATTAAGGGGATTGTGTGTTCTGGTGCTTTGGAGGAGAAAAGCACTCCAAGTTAATTTTTAATGTTTTGTATGTTCCCGTGTGTTGTGTTTATGTTGCGGTTGGGCTTCTTTGTTCATTTAAAACAAAACAATTCAAAATCGATTACAAACCAACATGCCTTTCTCTGTAATCTAAAAAGAAAAGCAAGTAATTAATCTTTAAAAGGAAATAAGCACAGAAAGTAGTTGTATTTTTTACAGTTAATTTTTTTCCATTTTCTCTATCTTAAGGTTATTTATGATGAATGATTTTATATCAAACTTCAGAAAAAATCAAGTTATGAGAGATTTATGGTTTGGGTAACAATTTTTGTTATCAATATGACCTGTGGGGAATTCATTTGAAACTGTGTCTTCGGTGGATATCAGGGCATAGGACTATTCCCAAAAGCATAATCATAGACCATGATTTGTTTTCTGTCCATTTCTATCTCTCTCTCTCTCTCATTTTTAAATTATAAAATATTAATGAATGCTATTGCAAACACACAGGAATCAAATTGACAGAAGAGACAATAAACTCAGTATCATTAGCCAAAGCCAGGTCAGGGGCTGATGGTGAAACTGGACATCAATTTCTCATATGCAATTTTAGGTTGAGGCTGAGAAAACTTAAAACAAATCCACAAAAGCCACAAAACAACCTTGAACATATGTCAACTGAATTTAGAGAACATGTCAAGAACAGACTCGTTGACTACTAATAACGTAAGACCTGAAAAACTGTAGAATGACATTGAGAACATTGTATAAGAAGAGGGCTAAAACTCTCAAAAAGACAGAAAAGAAAAAAAGAGACCATAGTGAAGGTCGGAAGAGACTCTGAAACTTGCTCTTGATGATAAAGCAAATGGAAGAGTAAAAGAGCTGAGCAGAAAATTTCAAAGGTCAGCTTGAGAAGACAAATAAAGTGTTATAATTAAATGTGAAAAGAACTAGAATTAAAGCCAAAGAGAAAAATAACTCAAGCTGAAAGAATTGAAAAAAATATTGAAGCTCTGAGTTGCAATATTGAAAGATTCTATGGGCAAAATATTGAGTAATACAGGAAGCATCAAAAGAAGATGAAAGGCGTGCGCATTCACTGTACAAGGAATTGGTTGACCTTCAGCCATTTCAAGAGGTGGCATATGATCAAGAACCAATGGTACTAAAGGAAGAAGTCCAAGCTGATACTAAAGACATTAACAAACAATAAGACTCCAGGAATTGATGGGATACCAATTGAAATGTTTCAACAAGCTGATGGAATACTTGAAGCATTCAATAGTTTACACCAAGAAATTTGGGAGACAGCTACCTGCCAACCAATACACAAATAAAATTTTGCTGAAGATAATTCAAAAGCGGTTGTAGCAGCATCACTTGTCTGCCAATGTGTTGTACCGTGGTGGTTTGTACGTGTTGCTGTGATGTGGGAGGCTATTCCACTGGTATTTCAAATGCCACAGGGTCACCCAAAGTGAACATGTTTCAGCTGAGCTTCTAGACTAAGAATAGAATACAAAGAAAAAATTGGCTCTCCACTTCAAAGAAATTTGCTACTGAAAACTATGGAAACCAGCAAAATATTGTCAAAGTATTGATCATGAAAATCTAATGAATAGTACTAGATGGGGAAAGAACATCTAGTCTTTTGTTCTGTTGTACACAGAGGCGTTATGGCCCAAAACCAACTCGACGGCTCCTAACAATAACAATGCCTTAATAGGGAGCTGCCAAAAATTCATGCCGGATTCAGAAGAGGATGTGGTATGAGGGATGCCATTGCTGACTCATATGTACCGTGGCTGAAAACAGAGAAGACCAGAACGATGTTTACTTGTGTTTTATTGACTATGCAAAGGCATTTGACTGTTTAGATCATAACTAACTATGGATAACATAGAGACAAATGGAAATTCCAGAACATTTAGTTGTGTCCATGGGGAACTTGTACATGAGTCAAGAGGTAGGTGTGAAAACAGAACAAGGCAATACACCATGACTTAAATCAGGAAAGGTGTGAGTCAGCACTGTATCCTTTCATCTTGCATATTCAATCTGTATGCTGAACAAATAATCTGAGAAGGTGGACTGTAAGAAGTAGAATTCACCAGGACAGATAAACCCCTCAGGACCAGTGGTGACAGTGGCAATACCAGGAGTGTGGAGTGAAGGTGGGGCAGAAGGGGGGAACCAATTACAAGGATCTACATATGGCCTCCTCTCTGGGGGAAGAACAACAGAGAAGTGGGTGAAGGGAGACATTAGGCACTGTAAGATATGACAAAATAATAATAATTTATAAATTATCAAGGGTTCATGAGGGAGGGGAGAGCAGGCAGGGAGGGGAAACGATTAGAAGCTGTTACCAAGGGCTCAAGTAGAAATCAAATGTTTTAAGACCAATGATGGCAACAGATGTACAGATGTGCTTGACATAGTGGATGGATGTATGGATTGTGATAAGCATTGTACGAGCCCCCAATAAAATGATTTTTTAAAAAAGAAGTAGAATTCAGCATTAGAATTGTAGGAAGTCTTATTATCAAACTGCAATAGGCAAATGACAAAGGGGACTTGAAACACTTGCTGATGAAAATCAAAGGCTGCAACTTTCAGTATTGTGGTAGTTACATAATCTGGTGTCACTTTGAGGATTAAGAGTGAAGGGGTGGAGTCTAGCCTCTCAGGATATAGCCAATGAGACCTCTGTGTGGGCATGGTCTTCTCCTGAAGATCCTGGGAACTCCTGTAGTTTCCTCCTTGAAGGCAGGAGACTCTCTCTGATCACTCCCTTGGAGACTCTCTACTGACAAGGCTTACTCCCTTTGAGACATTTCTGAGGAGAAGCCACATGAAGATACCCTGAGGCAGTCAGAGTTTCAGAGCTGAAGGAACCACGTGGAGAACCCTGCCAGCATTGAGATGCTAACAACGCCACTGGATCCACAAGACTTCCGACCCACTGGCCTGTGAGATTCCTGCATTCAGCATCATTGCATGTGTTTCATGAGTCT